CGGCGGCGGCGGCTGCGCGCAAGGCTCCCCGGAGGTGGCCGCGCCGCCCCGCCCCCCACGCCCCGCCCACCCGCCCGGGCGGACGCACCGTAGTGGAAGTTGCCCACATCGGGGTCATAAAAATACGCCACCGTCTTCGCCATGCCGCCTCACGCTGCCTCGAGCTGGGCCGGCTCTCGCGAGACTCCCGGCAGGGGCGGCGCGCCCGGGAGCCGCGTCCTCGCCCCGCCCCTCGCCCGCCCCGCCCCGCCCCTCGCGGGCTCGGCGAAGCTGCGCCTGGCCGCTGGCTCGTGGCGAGGCTTCCGCTGCCGCTCCGGGAGCTCGGTGCCCACGCGCGGCTTTACTTGACGAATGAGCGAGTGAATAGGCGAGCCTGGGCGAGCCGGGCTGGAGCACCCGAGCCCGGCAGGGCCTTCTCCTGCGACGTTTGCCCGACGCTGTGGGGCGCGGAACCCCGCTCGAAATGCGCCCCGGTGCACGACGCGCTGGGTCTTGAGCCGCGCAGGGGCTCAGCCCTTGTTCGTCTCCCCCGAACCGCTTTCCGGTCTGGCTGGATCCTGACCCCGCGGCTGGTTTGCCCTTGGCCGGTGGCGCCAGGAGGACAGCGATCGCGCCGTGCCCTCGCTGGCTGAGCGGCTGCGGATGCGCGGCCGGCGGGTGCCCGCCCTTCCGCCATGTGCGCGCCAGCGGTGCGCCCCTCGTCCAGGCCTCCTCGGCACGAGCGGCCCCAGGGCAAGCGCCCGCCCGGGAAGCGGCTTATCCCCCCAGGCCAGCCACCGGCGAGAGCCCCTGCCGGCTGCTGGCAAGGGCCCTGGCTGCTGCCTCCAGAAGGGACGGTGCCCCTGACGAGGCAGCGGCTCGGCTGCCTGCGCGAAGACTCTGCCTGCCTGGCCACTGTCGCCCGTGGGGGCCTTGGGGGGGACCTTTCTCTCGGTTCCCCCGACTGCAGTGGGGCGCTTGGTGGGGACACAGAACCTTTCCGCAAGATTCGGTGTGGGCTAGCACGGACGAGTGCGGGACAGGGACCGGCAATCTCCACTCGAGTCCCCGTTCAGCCATGGAGCCAGCTGGGTGACTCCAGGCACAGACTCAGCCCAGCCTTCCTCGCAGGGTTGTTGTGGCGATAAGATTGAGGCCAGGAGGGGGAGAATGCAGCAAGCCACCCTGGGGTCTTGGAGGAAGGCAGGCAGGCTGTGGATATAATAAATACATCATGAACAAAACACCACAGCGAGTTCGCTCCCATGCTGCTGTCCTTCTCTTCAAGCAGCCTTTTTTGGCTTGTAAAATAGTCTGCTGGACCGGGTGCTGATTTATGTAGAATCATTTGGTGTGCTTTTCTCGGCACTTCCAACCCATTTGCTTCACTGTTGCTTTCACCCCCGTGGACAATGCTTTGATGATTCTTAGCTGCCCTGTGTGCCGCTTTCGAGGTGGCAGGGGGGCAGAAATCACATCGCTCAATAAGCGGCTGACCGTATAATCTCAGGAAGGAGCACCCAGCGTGCTGCATGGCCCGGCTTCAGCTCTCCTCAGTGGACTCCCCCGCGAACAAAACACCAGTGCCGTGTACCTCCGGGACTACGGGAGCCTTCGAGAAGAAAACCGGGCAATTTCCCCAGTCAAATTCAAGTACCACAGTCCCCGGTTGGCCTCAGTGCCTCCCCCCCCCACCCCACTGAGTCCTTCAGGTTCACTGACCCTTTCCCGTTGCATCGACCCAGCGCCCTGTTGACTCCAGTCACCCTTATCCACACCCTCCGCCCAGCATCTCGCTTCTTGCCTTAGGCCCCTGATTTGCCTGCACATTCTTTGGATACAGATAAAACTGCTCATTTTGTAAATGGCTGGAGGTAGGGAGGCCACCTCTGCCATTTTATTTATGTCATTCACAGCGTTTGTATACCATTGTTTAGCGAAAGGCTCTCAGAATGGCGTTTCCTCAAACGGAGGCGATACGGCCCGGCAGCCCAGTCCTGGGAGGGGGCACCGTATGTGCACGCTGGCCCCAGTTTGTTCGCCGTAGCCAGAGCCACCAGGACTGGTGCTTCAGAAAGGAGGCGGTCCTAGAAAGAGGACGGGTGCTGTGCCCTTGCAGAGCCTAAAGACCATGCGGGGCCCCGAGCCTCTGGCATCCGTGGGGAGGTCCCGCAGGCCCCTCAGCGGTGGTGGCCCTGAGGACACTCCCTCCCCCCACGGGTCAGCGGGGAGGCCAGCGACTGCCATGTCCAAAAGCGCTCCATCCGGCGAAGGCACCGCCTGCCACTCCGGCAAGCCTGTGTCTCAAGAGCCCCTGCAGCCGGCCCATTCGGGGGGGGGGGGGCATCCAAGGCAGGCATCCTCATGCGCAGACATCTTCCACTGCCCTCGGAGGGGCCGCAGCAGAGTCCTGACGGGCTCTGGAAGATGGGGCTCGGCGGCGTTCGTTCACTTGCTTTCTTCTTCCAAGGAACCCAGCAGGCTCACGTGTGCCTCCAGCGCTCACTTCCCCCTCCCCGTAGCGCGCATTGGCAGAGCAGGGAGCAGAACCTGCATCTCTGCGTCTCACCATTGCACCACGCTGCTCTCCGCTTGCTGGGATCACAGTTTCCAGCACCCTGGAACATTTGCTCCCTTGGCCTGACCTCCCTCACGCTGCCAGTTTGAGTCTCCTGAGATGGCCCTGCTTTTGGATGCCCTTCTGTTGGGCTGACGAGGTGGGTGATGCTGGCCTGCCGGTTGCTTTCTCTTTCTCTTGCTCAGAACTGCCTTCCCAGCTCGCTGAGAAGCCGCGTTTGCCCATGCCGGGCAGAGCCCAAACGCAGCCACAGCACGGCGCGGTCACGGGCTCCTTCCCCACCTCCTCTGTGAGCAGCCGGACAGAGAGGCGAGCATGGCCGGCCCTACGAGGAACAACAAAGCGGAGGGCGAGTGCAGGCGCAGGCAGAACTGCCGCGCTTTCCGCTCCGTCTCAGCAGCAGAAGTGAAAGCAGGAGTGCGGCTCGCGGCTCCTCCAACCAGACCCTCGACCCTGCCTGCAGCTCGGAGCGTGTGCCTCTGTTATGGGTCTCAGGGCCTCTCTGGGGCTGCTGCGTGAGCCCCTCCTCAGCTCGCTCTGCCTGCTTGAGCTCAAATGCCAACACCCTTTTCAAAGCGGAATTCAGATGAGCGACACCTCTGATTGCTCTGTGGCCAGCCGCCTTCCCTGGGGCTCAGGCCTCATGTGGCAGGAGGTGCAGATCAGATCAGCAAGGTGCAGGGAGGAGATAAGGGCACCTCCTGAAGCGAACGGCGGCATGGACTAGCTCTGGGTGCGAGCGATCACTCCATCCTTTGCTTTGGGATCAGGGGACTGGGGACATGCAGCAGGTCGAGCACTAGAAGCTGGGACTTCAAGAGGGCCAACTTTGGCCAACTGAAGGCCAGACTGGGGAAAGTCTCCTGGGATAGGATACCGGAAGGCAAGAGAGTTGAGGAGGGGTGGATGGCACTCAAAAGGGAGGTTTTGGAGGTGCAAGCCTTGACGATACCTCTAGTTATTAAGGCGGGGAGGCGAAGGAGACCGCCAACAAGGATGCGAAAGGAGGTGGTTAGAGGGATTAGATGCAAGAGGAACCTGCATAGGAAATAGGTACTGGGGCAAATAGACAAAAGGGTATACCGGGAGGAGGAGGCCCGTTGCAGAAGGATTCTTCGCAAGGCTAAGGCTGATTACGAGCTGAGACTTGGCAAGAATATCAAGAGCAAAAAAAAAAGGGCTTCTTTCAGCATGTAAACAGGAAGAGGAAGGGGAGACAAGTGGTGGGACCACTAAATAAGGAGGAAGGAGATCCAGGGACTGATATGAGGGAACAGGACAGATGCTAAATGACTATTTTGCCTCTGTGTTCTCCCTAAAGCAGGATGGGGGATATCTGCATAGGAGATTAGATGAGGCTGGGGACTTAGGGGCACAGATTAGAGTCACCCCCCCCTTGAAGTCAAGGGGCTCCTCAGGGCATTGGACATTACAAAGGTGCCAGGCCCTGACGGGTTACACCCGAGAGTACTTAGGGAGTTGGCGGGGGTTCTCTCACGCCCGCTGGCCTCCATTTTTGAGGCCTCGTGGAGAACGGGTGAAGTTCCAGAGGACTGGAGGGTGGCGTCAGTGGTCCCAATTTTCAAAGAGGGTAGTAGAAGGGACATGGGGAATTATAGACCGGTTAGCCTTATGTCCATTGTAGGAAAAACAATGGAAAGGCTCATAATAGAGAGAGATCTAGTGATGCTAGATAGGGAAGGGAGGCTGGCAGCCACACAACACGGCTTCCGCAAAAACAGGTCCTGCCAGACAAACCTTGTGGAAACCTATGACAAGGTTTCGAGGTGGAGGAGATGCAGTGGATGCAGAGGGGATGGAGGGGATGCAGTGGATGTGGTTTACCTGGATTTCAGCAAGGCCTTTGACAAAGTGCCCCATGATATCCTGGCGGAGAAACTGAGGAGTTTTGGGATACCCCAAAGCACTGTCCGGTGGATTAGGGCATGGTTGACTGACCAAAAGCAGTGGGTAACCATTAGTGGGAAATCATCGGGATGGCAGCCAGTGACAAGCGGGGTCCCCCAGGGCTCTGTCCTGGGGCCGATCCTGTTTAATCTTTTCATTAACGACATGGAAGAAGGGGTGAACAGTCTGGTGATCAAATTCGCAGACGACACTAAAACTGGAGCAGTGGCCACAACTGAGGAGCAGGTACTCCAGATCCAAAAGGATCTGGACAGACTATGGAAGTGGGCAGGAGACAACAGGATGGCGTCCAATGTGGATAAGTGCAAGGTCTTGCACTTGGGGCATAGGAATGGGTGTCATAAGTACAGGTTAGGTGATAAGTGGCTGGAGAGCAGCACTTGTGAAAGGGACCTCGGGGTGCTGGTTGACTGCAGGCTGAACATGAGCCAGCAGTGCGATGCGGTGGTCAGAAGGGCGAATGCCACCCTTGGTTGCATAGCCAGAAGTGTGGCTTCTAGATCGAGAGAGGTGTTACTACCACTCTACACGACTCTGGTGGTCCCGCAACTAGAGTATTGTGCTCAGTTTTGGGCCCCTCATTACAGAAAGGATATAGCCAGGTTGGAGTCAGTGCAGCGAAGGGCCACAAGGTTGGTGGCAGGGTTGCAGGGGATGCGTATGAGGCGAGACTGAGGGAACTGGGTCTCTTCAGCCTGGAGAAGAGGAGACTCAGAGGGGATCAGTTGGTGACATGCAGGTATGTGAGGGGGTGTCACATGGAGATGGGTAGAGACCTGTTCTCCCCTGCAGAGGAAGGCAGGACGCGCTCCAACGGGGCAAAGCTCAGGGAACCGAGGTTCCATTTGGATGCCAGGAAGCACCTCCTGACAGTCAGGACCCCAAGGGTGTGGAATGGGCTTCCACGGGAGGTGGCTGAGGCCCCATCGGTGCGGGTGTTCAAGGACAGGCTGGACACGCACATGGTGGGCATGTAGTGAGCGGAGCCGGCTGGTGCCGGAGGTCAGACTAGATGGCCTGGGAGGCCCCTTCTGACTGCTCTGTTTTCTATGTTTCTATGTTGTCTATGTTTCTGAGCGCAGCAGCGTTCCCCTTAGACGTGGCTTGTGTGTGTCGGCTGCAAGCCGGCCTCAGAGAGGTGCGGCGTCCAGATGTGCCACAGGGAGCCATTTTGCTGCACCGGGGAAAAGTCTAGAGGCCGCACTGGGGTAGGAGCCAGAACAAAAACATCAGGGAGTGATGCACAGATGTTGAGTGTCCCGGAATTCAAGCTGGGTGTTGTGTTTTAAAAGCATGGAAGGGACGTGGAAGGAAAGACAGACCTGGGAAGGGTGGGAAAACGCCTGCACTCAGCTGCAGGTGGAACATGCAGCCTGAGCTCATGGCAAGAGGGAGCTGGGGGCCGCTCGGCCGAGGCCTGAGGTGCCAAGGAATTGCATGAGGCCAACCTGGTTGTCGCCCGAGGCTATTCCACTCCAGGCAGTTAGAAGGCAGTTGCTCCAGAGGCTGTGGCTGACACTTCTTGGCCCGTTCCCATCTGAGAGTTGCCCATACGGTGTGCAAAACTAGCTGGCCCCCCCGTGGCGCACCGCGGAGCGTGAACCAGAGTCAGCAATCTTCGGCCGCCGAGCGGCCCTGCGTTGGCACCGTGGGCTTCCTGGCTAGGACCCTGCGCGCACCCTGGCTCAGAGGGCAGCCAGCACATTCGGTGGGGCGCTCTCCTGCGTCACGCGGCTCGGGAGGCCTGTGTGGCACAATGCAGCTGGGCAGTCAGTGCTGGCCAATGAGTGAAGGTGGAGCGGGACTTGAGATTCAGGGGGGTCCAGAGTGGAACGGGCTCCTTCCACGTGGGCGGTGCCTGTGAGGGCACCCGAGAGCAGTTGCTCGCTTGGAGGGCCTGGGGTGGTGGATGGGTGCCGTTCGCGGCTCCCACCAGGAGCAAGGGGCAGCGGTGGGAAGGAAGCAGCGGGCCCCTCCCGGCCCAGTGCTCTTCAGCGGGTGTCTTCATGACCCAGGCGAAGAAGTGCGTGGGGGGGGGGGGAGCAGGTGCCCTAGAAGCAAGGGGGTGACACAGGGCCTGATCCCCAGGAGGGCGCAGGGCTCTCTGGCAAGCAGCGGCAGGCCGCACAGAAAGCGGGCGCATGGCGTGCCCGGCACGCAGAGACTCCCGCCCGTGCGACAAGGTGCGCCCTGACGGCCCCCCGCAGCCTCCCGCCCGGAGGCAGGGGACCGGCCGGCGCCGGGAGCGCCAGCCCGGAGCGGCGGCGGAGCGCGCGGGTGCTCGGCGCGCCCGCGCTGCGGCCGAGCCTGGGGGTGCAGGGAGGCGAGGCGAGCGAGGCGAGGCGCGCAGCGGCGTTGCCTGGAGACAGGTGAGCCGCCCGGCGGGATGGGCCCGGCCGAGGGGGCCGTGGGGGGCCGCGCCGACGCGCTGCAGAGCTGCGTCTCGGCGGCGGCGGCGGCGGCGGCCGTGCTTCGTGCTCGGGGCGCGCGGGGGGGCCGGCGGTGCGCGGCTCGATGCGGCATCTGGAGGCAGGCGGGCGGCAGCGGGCGGCAGGCAGGTGCGGCGCTCCGGCGGCAGCGCGGGGAGGAGGCGACGCGGGGCCGCCCGCCCGGCCCGGCAGCCCGGTGCCCTCCGCGGATTCCGGACCTGGCCCCGCAGTCCCGCCCG